AGAAGAGATGCAACAGCAGACCAAGACAGAGAATTACAGTTTGAAAAGATGGGAAGCTACACCAGTTCTTCTTTACATTTTGAAGTGTGTTTTTTTTACTGCAGATTCCAACTTGTCACCTGAAATTTAATAAATCTTTTTCTTTAGTGTTCACCCTCAACAGAGCAGCTGGCATACTGTGCTGTGTTGTGGTTTACAACTAGGCTATGTTATCTGTGTCTTTAAACCTAATACATAATATTTCAGCAAACCCTTAATTAGTCACCTTTTAGGACATGCTTGTTATTCAGCAGTGGATTTATCCCCCCCCCCCCCCCCCCCCCCCCCCCCCCCCCCCCCCCCCCTTTCCTCCCAATAAGGCCCCAGGCCCAAACAGAGAGCAATGCGTCTAAAGAGATATGGCAAAATATGCCTGACACAAAATTGTGTAATGTATTGTTTGCATCCGCATTATTTAAATCTCCAATTTATTATTCTGGTTTTGCTGTAAAGTGTAGTATCCTGTGTGAAGGAGCTGCATTAATGACAATTATTTTACTCAAAGATGTAAGAAGGCTTGTATAGGACAACAATGACACAATACCATGGCAGAAAAATAATAAAACAAACATCAACTTCTCTGACAGCAAAGGAAATGAACACATGTTAATAAGTGGGGTGGGTTATCTGCATGTCCAGACACAGTCTCCTATAGGAAAGTATGTGATTCATGCAAAAACACACAATGTGTGAGTCAGGAGTTGCCTAATATACACAATATTTAAAAGGAGCAAGTTTTTGATTAGATCACTGATGGCTAATAAATACTGTACTTCTTGATTGCTGGCAAATGGAGAATACCAACAGATTACTAGAACAATGGTAACCATCCTCAACTGCTAAACCAAAAAAAATTTTTTTTTAAAAATGTTAAACTGTTATAAACATACAATACAATAAGTTATCTTGAAAAGGTAAACAAGCTAGCAGAAGTATCTCTGAGGCAAATTTTCAATTTAATTATAAACATACAATACAATAAGTTATCTTGAAAAGGTAAACAAGCTAGCAGAAGTATTTCTGAGGCAAATTTTCAATTTAATTATAAACATACAATACAATAAGTTATCTTGAAAAGATAAACAAGCTAGCAGAAGTATCTCTGAGGCAAATTTTCAGGAGTTTTTTTTCCCCTTCTGATATTCAAAAACAACGGAAAATAATATTGTGGTTGCAAATGTGCAGGCTACTTAACACTACTCCTAAGTCTTATTAGCATGTGTTTGAGTCTAAACAACGGGTCAACATTATAGCACAAGACCCATAAGTGCTCTGTTATACTTCTAACTCAAGTCTGAGTCTGAAGAATCTCAACACACCAACTCCGTAGCACCGGTGAGGATCCTAAATTACTTTGGGTAGATTTTAAACTTTAAATTTTGCTCGAACAGCGCCGTTAGACTACGCTTTTTGATTTCCTTTTGCCAAAGGATTTTTTTTTTGGGTGCAACAATACACATGGGAGTCCGATCTCACTACCCAGAGACAAGGGGAAATTACTAGAAGTCCATGTGAAAAAACAAAGCCTTCACTGATGCCTGAACTTAGGACCTCCAGCACTCAAGCCCATGCCTCGAGACCACTCACCCCTTAAAAGTTCTTTGAAAAAAGTGCATGTATGCGCGTGCACGTGTGTGCATGTGAAGGGGGAAAAGAATATCCAGACTAAACAAGCATGTCATAAAATATCACAAATTACAAGTGCCTCCTTTAAAGCCAGAGTGCATCTGCCTGCGTTGCGAGGAACCACCACTATGCATACTACTAAACCAGTTCTATGAAACAGACATGCTTATAAAACTCAAGTTCTCGAGTCAAAGTTGAGAAATGGTCTAAACAACCAGAACTTTTCACCAGTGAATGCAAAGAAGAAGTAGAAGAAAACAAAATCCATGTTTTACTAACCCTTCATCTTCACTGGGAAGTTTCATGATGCTTTCTTAGTCCCCTGTTAAATGGTGAGATTATATGACTAGAAAAACTCAAGTTGTTGTAAATGGGTGGTATAATCCCTACGTGTCGGTTCTGGGCTCCCATTTTTAGTGGGGAGGGGCAGACCTGCAGCCCCTAACAAACAGGTGACTAATTAAAGGTTTGAGGAAATCAGATAAATCGAAAGGCCCAGATTTTGCAGCTCTGCTGTCAGGGTTGAAACAATGTGCCAACCGCCATTTTAACAGACAATACAGATAGGTGAAAAAAAAAAAGTAAAAAAAAAAAAAAAAATTTTTAAGTAAGGACCCTTTTCCATGCCTTCAGGTGTATAGGGCATATAGGGCTAGACCTTTATTTCATAGACCAATCGGTACAAGGTGAGTGATGTGGTCAGCATCATACTCAATACAGATAAAGATGATGATAAAGCTGCTAACATTGCATTTTATCTGTGACTTCAAATTCCACCTTAAACAATGGCCAGTTCTTCACCAAAGAGTGATGAACTGATGCATGACAAGGTAGACAGAAGAAGGGTCTTTCATGAGCATGTTAACTACAGAGATTAGCAAACAGACCACCACGTTCTAGAAACAACCATGCAAATGGGAGTCATCAGAGTATTCAGCAGACACTCTATGCACAGAGGAAAGGCAAAATTAACATACAATCAAACTTTAACTGACATCATTAGTATGCTGTAGTTATAATCTTTGTCTTCAAGTTCACCAGCTGTAAACTCCAGCTTAAAGTTATGGTTGCTCATCCACTTCTGAACTTTGGTCTTATTCCAGAACGTGAGTTTTGCGTGCACATTATTTTACAGATCTGGCTCATTTAATGAGAATGCCTGTTGCTATGAAAGACGGGTGTTTGGAAGGGCTGAATGTAAGACGGGCCTGCGCACCCATTTGGTGACCCTTTGAAAATAAAATGTGTTTGTTCTCTTCTCTGGCAAATGTAGTCTGAATTCAAAGAAACCCTTACACAATCACTTCCTACAACATGCTTGTTGGGGTAGGGGAGGATTTTTTCTCTCTCTCTCTCCAAAATTGGGTCCTGGAACCCACAAAGGGACATGAATATTAGACCATGGGACCGGCAGGCAAGTATCTAGCTGCTACACTACGGCAGCTCTGAGAATATGTAATACAGAAATATGATGGAAGTGCATCAAATGTGGAGATTTTCTGAGTAAATTCACAAGCAGATATTGCCCAGAGAAGCAAATGTCAACTGACAGACATGTCTGAGCTGCAGAAGTTAGAAGTCCAAGTATCAAGCATCTCCTTAAAAAGTCCAGCTTATTTTATTTACTTAAATTATAGTAATCTAAAATCCTAACCCAGCTAACATAATTGATACGATTTATAAATCTAGATTATGGAATGTGGTTATTTTAATGTGCTTGGATCAACAATGTGGCCTTTTGATGAAGACACAGAGAGGGTCTATGGTGTAGAACAGAACATGGTCCTCAAGTGGAGCAGACATGATTTCTCTGGGTCAGTTACTCCGCAGGGATCTAGGGGGTATGAGCTCAACATCATAATTTACACTGACCACATTTGATCCAGCTGCAGGCATTTCAAGGCGAAAATTAGTTAAAGACCATTTTGGAAATGAAAGTGTTACAAAATGGAGTGTGCAGAGAATGACAAGTTTCCACAAAACAAATTGTGCAATGACAACATAACCAATTACATGCTTTGGCTTCTACCGCACCAGACTGAGTATGTATGAGATGCAATACTATCAGTTTTGTAAAAATAAAAGTTAAAAATATTTTTTTAATGTAACAATTACAATCAATCAGTCTTGTTACAAGTTAACAACTAGCCACAATTCACCATAGGTCCTCGGTATATTAGTCTGTTTTGATGGTACCATCAAATAACTTTATAAACATGTCACAGTTGAGATATATTCAACATTGCCATGTGGTCGTGTAGTTCAATGGTAGCATGTGGCTCAACGGTTTGGAAGTTAAATGAGGCATGAAAAGGTTTACATACTTTTTCAATTTTTTTTTAGCTCCCATATATATTATTCAGAATATCAGTGCTGGGGACATTAGTGAATATACTTAGGGAGAACACACATATGGGCTAAGAAAGCAAAGTTATATAAGAGTGGGGGAGGGTAGGAACGTCAATACTGTTTTGACAGAGCACTACACAGATTCTGAAGCAACTGCACACCTGTCAGGGATTTATAAAAGCAATTCTTTTTTCAAAAATGAAGACTTCAACTTAGAGAGTATTAGCTTAATAGCTTATTACTTATTATCTAACAACAGTTGTATTTTGCTACTGTCCTGTTGCTACCTGAAGTTGTAATCTGTGACTTTCTTGTTTCAACCCAATCTCTAAACCATTACTGTCTAATGTTTACATACAGTTGTAGCGTATTACTGTGCAGTTTAGTCACAGCCCACAGATAGATGATACTCTACCTAACTTGCACACATATTAATGTGCTAATCTGGAAATGCTACCAACATTTGTAGCCTGTTACTGTCCAACTGCTACTCAGTATTGCAGTGTAACTGTAACTATACAACTATACACAGCTGTTGCATGCTACTGTCCAACTATTATCCAGAGCTGTAGCCTGTAACTATACAACTTATGTACACGACCAGGCAATGGCCACACAATCAAGTCGCATTCAACTTTGACCCAAAGTTGTCTCCTAATGAATGTTAAAATAAACATAGTTTTCAGCTAAGTTAGCTTGTCCAACACATAATCTCTGTCCAAAGGGAAGCAATCCTGTAAACTGGAAACAGTTACTGCAGCAGAATGTGCTTAACTTTTTTAGTCCCAGGGGTTTAGCATCAGAGAACCAAGGGTAGTACGGAGAGACATGTAATTGGTGCATGTTGCGACAGTTGGTTTCCAGGTAGGAACATATGAAGGTATGATGCTTTCCTCGGGACTGAAGGAGGTAACATTCTTTCAGTAGCACTGCTTTTCTCAACTGGTCACCTATTACCAACTGTGCAGACAGAAGAACAAAAAAACTTATTCTGTTGCTTCATCCTTCTCTCTCTGCTCCCTGATCCAGTCGTCAGAATGCCTCTTTTTCTTATGCTCATTGAGTTTTCCAAGCGTGTAGAAATTTTTATCACAATACGCACACTGATGTTCTCTTACGCCTGAATGGCGTTTAATATGAATTTGGTACCGATAGCGGGTTGGGAAGGCAGAGTCACACTGATCACATTTGTAGGGCATTTCCTTGGTATGAACCACTTGAATGTGCAGTTTGCGATGACCTCGCTGTTTGAAACTACGCTCACAGTAATCACACTTGAAAGGTGTCTCACCACTGTGTGTTCTTCTGTGAGTCTTTAAATCTGAGTTGGAAGAAAAGGCCTTCTGACAAACTTCACATACATAGCGTTTCAAAAACTTGGTCTGGTGATAAAACTGCTGAGTGGCTAAATTATAAGCCTCTACGTTACTTGGCAAAGTCACCTGTAGACGCAGAATTTTCTCAACAGAGCTCAAGGATTCTGATTTCTCACTGTCATCAGGTAACTCTTCAATTTCTGTATCCTCATTTGACTCCTCATGAGCTGACTCAGTTTCACGCTTCAAATCATCAGCTCCATTGTTATCTTTGCCCTGTGATTTATTTTTCACTTTTCCCTGACCCGTTTTATCCTTGCCAGCAGTTTTCCCAAGGTTATCTGCAAATGGTGCATTAGGGAATGTGAGATGGTTATCATCAGGACCCAGAATGAAAGAGGAGTCACTAACTTTTTTGATCAGGTCATCATGAGCTTCATATATATGCTTCTTGAGATCCACGCTGGTCTGGTAGGACACTTTACACATGTCGCACTCAAACGGTTTTGCGTCCGGCTTGTTATGACAGTAACAATGAACGCTCAGATGGCTGAGCATGGGAAACTTCTGCCCACAGATGCTGCATCGGTAAATGTTGATCAATTTATCGTATCTGTGTGTCTTGTTTTTGTGTTTCTCTACCTCAGAAACAAAACGGAATTCCTGTCCACAAATATCACATTTCACAAATTTCTTGAAACTGTGCATCCTTTTGTGAACCTGCAAAGCAAATTTTCGGCGAAATACCTTACCACATTCATCACACGTGAATGTATCTGCAAACATTTTGTGCTGTCGGAGATGTCTTTCCAAGTTGTCTTTGCCGTAAATAGTTTTGTTGCAAACCGTGCACCTATCAAATTCAGCCTCCTTGTGTTCTCTTCTGGCATGAATTTGAAACTTGACCCCTCCGCTGTGAAACGTCATCCCACAAATAGGGCAGTTATATCTGGCTTTTTTGTTTGAGGTACCTTTGGAAGTTAAACCATCTTGTGTAGCATCTGCATCTGAAGTTACTTCTATTTTAGTTTGCCCTCTCATTCTTTCTAAGATCTGCATTGCCGATTCTGTGGGAACAGTGTCTTCCTTGACCTCTGGGAAATACTTTGCCTGAATTTTCTCCTGATTGCGATGGCCTCGCAGATGGGCATTGTAGCCACTAAGCGTGAGTAACTGGACACCGCAGATTTCACAGCGACATTCATGTTTAGTTTCATGCACTGGCATATGTTTGCGCAGTTCATGCTTGCTACGGAATCCACGGCTACACTTATCACATTTGTGCGGTTTGGTCTCGTCATGGTAATTCATATGGCTTTTCAGATCCTCTGGGGAATCAAACATCACTGTACAGATTGGGCATGAGAACTGAGACAATCCATCACCTTCGCCTTCTACCCCTTGGTACTTTCTGCAACACAATGTAAACACAAAATGATTATTGCATTTAAAAAATAAGGTTTCTTTAGTTTACATCAAATATACGTGAGAGTAATTACTGTGTAAGTTTCATCATCGAATAGGGATCCTTTTGCCAATGGCACATTGGACACATGGTGCTCAACCCATATTTTAGACTGTTGATGATGTGGTCAACATCATACTGCAGATCCTAACTTCCTGTGACATATCCTGGAATCCATTTTAGTCTGGGTCAACCTGGGTGCCAAGGTCACTGTATAAAATCTGCCTTGATATGGATCTGCTGTTTAATCGGGGGCTTTTTCAAGTCCTAAAAGATTGTGAATCTTGACTCTGAAGTCCTATGCATCAGCCCTCAGAGCCCTGAAATCTATGAGACTAAGGTTCATAAACAGACATTTCTCCTGACCTGGGTACTTCCTTGCTCCAAACTCAGGAATTAGCGAGGTGTGCAAGACCAAAACTGAAATTTCACATCTATGGTGGAGTAAAATGGAATGTAACCAAATCCTCATTCATCTAAAAAAAAAAAAGGTACTTTCTGGCCACATTACGCAAAAAGAAAAACTGAAACACGTAATCACCAGAACGATTTACAGAAAAAGAGGTAACAAAAGGCAAAGAAAATAGATTTTAGATAGCCTCCTGTCATGGCATGGAAAGATGTCACCAAGCAAACTGATACACACTGATGAAGAACACACGAAAAATGCATGTGCCAAAGACACAATCATGACAAAGATATATGCTAACTAGCATACTGACAACTGGGAACAAGAAAAGGAAGTACATTTTGTCACAAATGACTTCTAGATGGTGACTATATGGGTGAGAAGGGTGATACCAAAGGTTTTTGACAATACAAATGCTGTCTACTCATTTCTAATTACCGTCATTTTCCAGAAATAGAAACTCCAATTTAATATCTAAATAAACTGGAAAATTATTCTGAACCAAATGTATCATTATAAATATCATGGAAACATGATAACATATGTCAAATCTCAGTTCAAGAATCACAGTGGAAAAAGCAGCCTTTTGCAAAGTAGAAAATAGTCCCATCAATAACAGTTGTTTTACTGCAGTGAAAAAGAAGGTGGCAAAGTGATACACTGAATCTTATATATATTTATATATATATTTTACTGCACTTGCAGAAAGAAATAGAATGACAGGACACACTAGACAACATAACAATGTAAAGCCATAGTTACTGTGACAGGAATAAAACCTGTCATCTCCAAATGGTGCACGCCTCGCTGTGGAAACAAGTGTACTAAGATATATGACCAGCTGGGCACTACTTAAAAAGATCAAGTATCTTCATTGGCATGTCTATTGTATGGCTGGAAATCCACAACTATGGAATACAGAAAGAATTCATCTCAAACCATTGAAATGGCACCAAAGGTTACAGAAATTTACATTAACCAAGCATAGGTCAAATAACAAACACAACACCAATTATGAACATAGTGGACCACACTATTACATCTCGTGTACAATAAACATTTAACAAAGAGATCTGACTGGTCAGTTCCACGGTAATACACTGTGATACACCTAATTCACATGAATAAACAGAGGTTGGAACTCTTAAGACCGAAGAAACATTATTTATATAATAAGGAGGCAAGGTATTGTTTGGTACTCATGAAATCAAAAACATTGATGGTAAGCATACAAGAAAGGAAACATATAATGGCATTAGTAAAGTGGTTAGTGGAGGACAATGCAAAGAATACAATATATGGACAGAAACAAAATGGGGTTAGTAGCCCTTTAAGAAACAGATGAAATGTAAACTGATCTGAGAAATAAGTCATGATTTTTAGGACATGTTTAAAAAAAAATCTAAAAACAGTGATCACATTAAAGGGAAAACAGAGATTAATGCCTGCCATATGCACAAATGGAATAAGAACACAGACTTGATTAAAAGCTTTAGTGATCATGTGAGATGGCATGCCAAGAGTGCTCCTATTTAGCATTGTACATAATGATGATGATACAGAATCTGCAACAAACACCCGAGTACTCCCTCCTCTAATGTATATAACGCATTAGTTTTTCTTCAACATTCGCCCTTAAAAAAGCGACTGGAACATCGTGTTGCAGTTTACAGCTAGGTTGTGACATGTGTATCCTTTGGCCTAACACGTCCGATTTCAGCAAACCCTTAATCAGTCACAGCATGCTCATGCAAGACAGGGAGTCTGTTCGTTTTCCTCCCAAAATGGGGTCTTAGAATCAAACTGGGATATGTGTCGCTTTAACTCTTTCAGTCTCAAGAAGCTGTTAATTTTACTCCTATTTCAAGGACTTAAACTAAAAAGCATTGAATATTTAGGTGTGAGGAGGCTAAAAAAAATACTCTCAGACAAAATGAGACTAGTTAAATTAATAATTCAGATAGAAAGGGTTAATACAGGGTATTTTTTTAAAAGTTTATATTTTGTATGTAGAACAAATTTGCGAACCAAGTAAACGAGTTCACCAAAGATTTTTCTCTACAGTCAATCGTGAAACAATATAAGCAGTGAATGACTGTCATCTGCTGCAGTCATTCTTTGCACTCAAAACAGTACGGTGTTATCAACACAAGAAAGAAATTTGTTTCGGCTGAAAAAGTATTTTTTAAAATAGTAGACGATTTACAAAGATGGTTGTTCAAAGATCTATAGCAAGATTTCCTGATAAACAACCTTCTCATCGAATTAGGGTTAGGAATTTGTTGTTAGAATAAATATTATTTTGGTACTTTCCAGCTTCCCCCAAAACAGCATTCGACCATAGCCTTAACTATTGTAAATAATTTAATAACTATTTAAGCCTGCTCTTTATGGCATCTTTATGTACTTTGGTTTTTCACATTTGTTTAATCGGCCGCTTTTTCAAGTCCTGGAAGATTGTGAATCTTGACTCTGAAGTCCAATGAATCAGCCCTCAGAGCCCTGAAATCTATGAGACTAAGGTTCATAAACAGACATTTCTCCTGACCTGGGTACTGCCTCGCTCCAAACTCAGGAATTAGCGAGGTGTGCAAGACTAGAACTGAAATTTCACATCTATGGTGGAGTAAAATGGAATGTAACCAAATCCTCATTCATCTAAAAAAAAAGGTAGTCTTTCTGGCCACATTACGCAAAAAGTACACAACGTGTGCTGAGACTTCACAAACACCCTATATAATAATTGTACATGACAGAAGACAGATGAAATATTATATTATTTTTGAAATGGCAAATCAACGTAGGGTGCTTTGCAATGAAAGAGATATAACTCAATGAACTGCATTCAAGTGCTGCTTACCTTTGCTGACTGAGCTGATCAATGTACTGCATCTCTTCAGCGTAGGGAAGATTGCTTGGGTCAATATCGCAGTATCTCATGTGGGTGGACAAGGAGCACTTGAGTTTGAACCTGCGCAAGCAGCGTCGGCACTGGAATGGCTGGACGTGAGAGTGGTTTAGGTCAATGTGATAGCGCAGCAGGCACGGAGCACGGAATGGTTCCTGGCATACACCGCACGAAAGTGCTATAACGTCATCATGTGTGGCTATGTGCTTCAGAAAAGAGGAATACTTGTGGATAACTTTCCCGCACACACTACAAATGTAGTGCTCTTCTCTGCCTGAAAAAAAAAAGATTCAATAATAAATTTATGTAAGCTAGATATGACTATACATGCTGACACATCAGGTAAATAGAGTTCTTAAATAGGATTAGAAATTGCTCTAGGAGTGAAAATTAAGAGGATTTGATTAAAGAACATCAAGGAATCAGCTCCATTTCACTGTCACTGCTTTTTTCATTACCCTGTTGTGCCATTATATGTCACATAGGGCTCGCAGTCTATTACTCCATTCCATTCTATCCTGCGCAATCAGTTTAATATAATAGATGACATCCAGTCCAGCATCTTTGGCCTCTCTCAATAACATTCATCTTATGGTTTCATTAGGGATCTTTGTCCTCTGAATCCCTTCATCTCCAATTGTAATGTTTGGTGATTCTCTGCTGGCTTCTCAGAATGTGTGCAATGTGCGCTATGTATAATTTTATTTTACTGCTCTCCTTTACTGAAACAAAATTTCTGCCACACATTTTAGATTCTTACAAAATGAAACAATCTCCTGCAGCGGCTAATGATTTGTAGATATTCAGCAACAAGTAATGAACTGCCCTATACATGATATCAGTTTTCCTGCAGCTGTAATTCCAAGGATTTTATATATACTAAATCATTACACTGTATGGCAGATAACTATTTTCTTCTCCATCACTACTGATCTAAGACCACACTAACAAAAATCTGTCCTTGCTAATAGCCAATTGTAACTGTGAAAGTAATGTGCAATTTAGTATAGTTGATTTTCCATCAGGTTTCTACAACACACTTAATGGGACTTGATCAGTGTAGTTGTGGAGGGGTTGAGACTTTTTATCAGCAGACAGTTCTGGCTGTACATCCACTTCTGATCTTTTAATCTTGCTCCGGAACCTGAGTTTTGCATGCACATCCATTTTACAGAACTGGCTTTTTGTATGCAGACTGCTGGTTCTTCATCTCTCAGGTACATGTACTCTTACCTCAAAGGAAACGCTCTAATTAGTCAATAGTTACAACATACTTGTTACAGCAGGGGCAGTGGCTTTTATCACCCCCCCCCCCTCGCCCAATGGGTCCATGGAACCCACACAAGAAGTTTATACCATATAATTGGGCAGCTGGTGTCAATAGTTTAGGAGTGGATCTCACACTGGCCTAAAAGTGGAGCATCTTTACACAGTGTGATCTCTTTACAGAGTTTAGGAACCCTGTATAATTAATATTCCTAGAATCATCATGATCTCTACAGATGTAAAAAAGGCATTACTGACTACTGGTCTACCCTCAGTTGGTTTCTTAGCCACTCCTCATTTTCTCAATCTAGTTCCCACCACAAATCACATTCAGCACAGTGGGAAAGCAATCCACATGAAATCTGCAGCTCAGTGTTGCCCCATGCACAAAACTAGGACAAATTTTGCAGCCTGGCTGAAAACCATAACACATCCAGCCAACCGCCTTTTAAGAGTAAAAGAAGAAAAAGCAAGAATACATGTATAAATACTGTTGTGACTATTTTTTAAGAAATACTAACAAATAAAATACATCAGAATAAATTCAACAAATAACTTACCTTTCCTTTTCTTCTTAGGTTTTGGTGAACTGTCCCCTTTTTCTAGCTCCTCTGTGACAATCTCCTGTTGAGCAGTGAGGACTTTAGCCCTATCAACCCACAGTTCATATGTGGACAGCTTGCGATGGGCAAAAAATACACTGTTGTTTTCAAACAACTCTGAGCAATCACTGCACTTGATGCTACCAGCTTTATAGTGATGTCCTTGCATGTGAAAAGTGTACAGCATTAACTCCTGGAATGTCTCGTCACAGACAAAGCATGCGTACTGCTTCACACCAGACGGACAGCTTCTGGAGCTACTGCTGGTCGCAGCCGCATAATCTTTGGCAAAATTGTCCTCTCTTGGTACTGGTACATAAGAGTTATTTACCCCTGGCATGTCCGATATATCTTGAGTGGCATCACTATCATACTCAACTTTAAAATTGTATGAACAGTTGTTTGTAAGACGTTTGTCCCCTTCGTTTTTACAACCATCTGCAGACTGCTGAGCTGGATCAGATTGGGCTTGGCCAAAGTGCACCTTTAAAGAACTGTACTGCTCATCAGTGTTGTTATAATGACTGTTTCCCCCCTGCTGTACCTGCTGCATCTTGTTCTGAAAGTGGCTTGGAAACTCTATTCCTGTAATGGAAAAATTTGCATCTGCAGGTTTGGAGGACATGCTTCTCATGTTTTCCAGAAGCTGTCTATGCCTCCTGGCTGGATCATCACAATGAGGCTGACCACCTTTACCTGGAATCTGGTTAGGGTTTTGCCTGATGCTTCCCTTCACATGCTGCAGCAGCTCATCTGTGCTTCCCATGAGAGGCAGGTCATTGTGGTCTGGCAAGAAAGTCTTCAGTAGGCTAGCAAAGGAGCTCATCTCCTCCTGGCTAGCCTCTCTTTCCACAGCCATCGTGGAATGCTGAACTCTCCGCTAATTTCAGAAATAGAAATCAACCTGGTTGCAAAAAAACAAAAACATCAAAAGATGTCAGTGGTAGTACAGGCAGTAATTCAGACAATAACAGTAAATCAGTCAATAAAACAGTAAAGATAATACTCAACAGAAGGGACATAATGGCTGTTGAATGAACTTCTGGTCTAAAACAGAACACTAAACATGGCAGAATGTTAAGCTTTGCAGGTATTTTTGCTTCAGACAGTGCTCTGCTAATGGAGTTTCTATATATGGACAGCTGTCTACAGTTTCGCTGCCTAAGCTAAGTTTAGTGCTTGGTGCAGCCCTGTTAGTTGTATTTTTCCAAGCAAAATGCCTTCATTTGTGCATGCCGGTCATTGATAGTTTCAGATGTACAGGTTTTCCCATCTACTAACAGAAATGTGCCATAGGATAACTATGCATTTTTTAACAGTGTGTGTGTGAGTATGTGTGTATACACACACATATATACAGCTAGTTTTACTTATGGCTATGAGTCCTTGATAACTAGTAAACAAGCTTGAAGCATCACAGATATGATTTTAGAGAAGAATGCTTAAAATTACATGTGAATCAAACATGTATCATCCAGATGTTTTGAAAGAGACAACTTATAAACATCCAGCTGGGACTTAATGTCCCAAGTGGAAAGATTTATGTAAAGATAACAGAAGACAACAAGAAAAGAATCTTGACAGCCTTTAGTCATGTCAAGGAAGAAGAAGGAGATCACTGAAATTTTTGCAGAAGGCTTCAGGACACATTAGAAAGGAAATTTTTCCAGTAAACGACACATGGAAAAAGGAGAAGTGGATAAGGGAAAATGAAGGAGTGAGAAATGAGATACCATGAGCAAAAAAGCAGCAGAGTGGCAGCAATGCAGATAATCACATCTGAATGCCTTATATGTCAATAATGACATGAATAGGAAACAGAATTTAAAAATGGCTGAAAAATAGGAATAACAACGTCCAAGGTATTCTAAGATGAATCTTAAATGTTTTGCCTCATGTGGATTCACATCCATATGTTAAAACTGGATGTATGTAGAAAGCAAGAATTCTTTTTCTAACTCTCAATGACAAGGATATATTGCACAAGATGTTTTTCATTTTATAAAATGCAGTTTTTGCCTGTCCAATTCGTGCGAATCCAAGAGCACTTGGAGGAACGCGGGACTACATGTTGAGGGTCAATGCAGAATTTATGTATTTTAAAAAGGACGACTTGATCCGATTCAATCCAACGGAGAGTGGCACAGACAGTAACGGTGACCTGATTATGACAAAGATCCAACGAAGGATACAGAATTTAAAAATAAATAGGAAGACAACGTGAGATGAATCTTAAGTCTTTGGTCATGGCAGGATGTCAGCATATGATACGACACAAGCTAGTGGAGACAGCAAGTTGTGGAGAGACCTGATCATCAATGCCAGTAGCAAAGCATGTGCTGATGTTCATGATTGAAGAACAATCATCATAATAAAATCAATCACACCATAAAGATCACATCACTGGTTAACATATCAATGCTTAGAAAGCGAATGCAACTGGAAAAGAGTCAGAACGAAGTGAATTTGGTGAAGAAAAGAGTCAACAAAAAAGTGTGTAGCTGCTGAGAAATAGCGTTCCATTAAAGAAAACAAAAATCTACTTCTACTTTGTTTCTGCATTACTGTGTCAATGAAACCTTTTGTTTTCATGGTAAAGGGGGCAAAAGCAGTTAATTTTTTTGTTTTATTTGTATTTAGTGATTATATCTCTTATTACAAATCAGCTGTAAAATCTGAAAACATTATTTTTCATATTTTTTCAGTCACTTGAGATCTGCAACGACACAATAGCTGGCAGGCTTGCCTGTCTGTTCAGTAGTTGTAGGTTTCAATCCCCTGGATTTTTTTTTAAACTGACCAAAACTCAAAATCTCTTCTATTTCTTCTTCTCTCCTTTAGTTTCTTAGGGTAGAATTTCACAGTTAAAGCAATGCATTTCTACTTTTTTAAAATTTTTAAAAGGTCATTTTTTTTTTTAAAGATTCTTACGGGACAAAAGGGTTAAACAGAGGAACTATAGTTAAGCAGCCACAACATCAGACAGAGGATGCATATAGCAGATATTAGAACAAGTATCATTATAGCACAATGCAGCCTTCTGCAAACTGGACAATGTAATCACCAATAAAACACTGCTAATTGCAGTGAGAACATACGAGTGTTAAAGTCTTAGACAGAAACTGTACTCTAAAATGGATGTGAGACATGAAGAAAATACAGATACTGGCACTGAAAATCAGGTTACTGAGGGCAATGCAAAGAATACCATAGATGGACTAAAAAAAAAATGAGGCATTATTTCAGGAAATATTTTTAGATTCTCATAGGCTGTGCAGAAATCCACATTCATAGTCTTTATATTTATCTTTATTCCATTCTCTAAACACCCATTCACTTCCATACATTCTCTACATACCCATTCACATTTTTTTCTCTGCATTGTTTGTTTCCTTCCTTCACAATATGAAAGATAACCCTTCTCTCTAACTTTTCACTCCAAGTTATCATGTTTCACTAACTGCTACACCCCTAAAGCATGACGCATGCTTTGTGTTTTTTCTTTTATAAATTCTAAGTTTGAGGTTTGAGCTTTTGAACAACAGATCAACATCATAGCACATGGGTGTAACCCATAAGTGCTCCATTCTTCTTCTAACTCGAGTCTGAGTCCCAAGAAGCTCAGCACAGTGCACAGGCTATGTAGCAACGGCGAGTATCCTGAAATACTTTGGGTTGATTTTTAACTTCAAATTTTGCTCGGGCAGCGTCGTTAGGCTACTCTTTTCTATTTCCAACTGCCAAGGGATTTTTCTATGTGCGCAGCAATGCACACAGGCACCCGATCTCACTACCCAGAGACCAGGGGGAATTACTAGAAGTCTAACAAGTCCACGTGAAAAAAATCCCAGCTATTCGCAGGGACTGAACCTGGAACCTCTAGCACTCGAGGTGGATACCAAGCATCGAGACCATGCAGACACCTTTGAAGTGGTCCAGGTAAGTACTGCATGCTAGATTCATAAATCTAGACAGCGAGGAAGTAAAGAACCCTATTCACGTCGTCAGCACATCCAGCAAATGCTACTATACCCATACTGTTATAGACTAGTTGGCACTTTAATAGTGCTAACATCATGCAGAACACCCTCATTCCCTTGAACACTTCATAGTTCCCACTTAGGGTGGAACATTAAATGATGAATTTTGTTCAAATTTCATTCAACTAAATACTTTAAATTTAGTAAAGAACTAGGCTGTAGGTGATGTTAACATTAATCAAAAACAGCATTGAAGAAATGAAGATCAACTTAAACTAGACACAAGAAGCACATAGAAGATCCTTATTTCATTTTTATAACTTTAATAGTTAGCTGCAGGAAGAAGCGGTGAAGAAGAAGCCGTAGTCTATTCCAACAAAATATCATAAAATAGCAAAATCAGCACTGGTCAATTAATTAATATCCAACGATCAACACTCAAGGAAAAAGTGAGATGGATACACAATCAGACTGTTACTTATTGGAACTGGAACTCTGCACTTGCTGCTGAAGATGGGGATGGAGCGCTTATTGAAATGTCCTGAGTGCTGTAATGTTGATTCTGAATTAAACATCAGCAGTATACTATAAATTGGAAATACAGCAGATACTACATATCTATGAACTACAACCCTGAGGGTTGAACAGGGTATTAATAAATATTATGACAACTGCTACTACTGAAGCATAAGAAGTCAAGAGTCTGAGAGACTAATGATACTATGTGTTATCTTTAAGAAGTCAGAGTCTGAGAGATGAATGATACTATGTGCTATCTTTAAGAAGTCAGAGTCTGAGAGATGAATGATACTATGTGCTATCTTTAAGAAGTCAGAGTCTGAGAGATGAATGATACTATGTGCTATCTTTCTACTGTCCACAACAAACTGTGAGAGTAAAGTAAAAGAAGCTATTATGATTATTATCCAGAATTCTCATTCTGTCTTTCACAAATACATTCATAATTAACAAATAAATAACTACTATACATATATATTATATAACATATATATATATATATATATATATATATATATATATATATATATATATATATATATAATTAAAAATATAGTATTTATAGTTGAGTTTAGAATTGAGAAGTGTTTCAGTTTTGCAATTAGGTTTTTGCAAAACTGAGCAGAAATACAATAAGTATGTCACTGTCTAAGTTGGCCAGTCAGGAAGGGCTAGTAGGAGATTCACATGTATTGCTGTCTCCTGTGACCAGCCCAGGACGGACTAAAGCGGCCTGCAGCAGACATGCCGTTGCAAATTAGATCCTGCTAGATTATTTGCTATAAAATTACCACAACAAACTTTCTCAATTACTCCAAAATACCCAAAAATGATTATACCTACAGACTTGTTGGTGTAGAAGACGTTAGCTGTGTGGAATAACAACGGGTGAGACGTACAGCTGCAAATGCTGGAAAAATCGGTGAAGGATGCGAACCTAGACCGCCGCCATTACGGCTTTGTGTGCAACTCGTCTTTCAACCGGTGAACCCTAGCAGTCGAATCTCATCAACGACCGTTACACACAAGTTTTACACCGATTTTACTTGAAATTTCGCCGAAATAGGAACCAACAATATACGCCGTAAGTCAGGAATGTACGTAGGTGCAGCAGAGAGAGGTAAAGTGCCTGAAA